ACACACATATATAAATATATATAATATATATATATACACACATACACACACACACACACATATATATAAGCAGCGTTTCAGTTTAATCATGGAAAAATGTGGATTTGGGGTAACTTTTTTAAATCTAAAAATTGGGGATTTGTTTTTAGTAGAGAAAACCAGGATCCCTGGTGTTTAGAAACTCTACAGCAGAGCAAGAAGCAGCAAAGCATTGTTAGGGAGAATGCTTTCCTTCCTATACTGAAGTTTCTAGCTCAAGGTAGGAAGAAGACAGTGACTCTTCTTGTGATGTAGTACCATTGTCTCACAGTGCTAAAACATTTGAAGATGTTAAAGGTGCCAAACACCTTAGCCTATGCTACATCCAGATCTAACACTCATTTGCTTGGCCCATAACTAGTTTTCAGGCCAGAGATTTGTTCACGAGTAATGCTACTTACCAGTAAGAGGGCAATGTATATAAAAAAGACTGAAGCCAAAATCAGAAGGACAACAGACCAGAGAAACCAGAAGCCTAAATTTCCATAGTTATACCTAAAAAACAAGAAAATCTTGTAAATTTGGTGAAATTATGAAGTATTACATTTAACTAGGTAGAGTTCAATATGAAAAAACACCCTTTCCATCCCCTCCAGTCAGCCCTCAAAAAGAAATACAACCAAATATCTTCTAGTGGGAAGAACTGTTGGACTTACAGGAATCCCATTTCCATGTGCAACCAAAGCACTTTCAAATAACAAGATAGAGATAAAAAGTTGTCCTGTCCTGTACAGCTGTAACTAGAGGTAGTAAAAACAGACCAAGACCCAACGTGCCAGGCGCTGTACAAACAAAGATCCCTGCCCCAGATTGCTTACAGCAGGGGTGGGCAATTATTTCAGGCGGAGAACTGCTTACTGAGTTTTGGCAAGCCATTGAGGGCTGCATGACAGGCAGCCAGGGGCAGATGAATATTAATTTTCTAAATTTTTTAGGGGGCCCGCAGGCCAGATAGAATGGCCGGCAGACCACATCCGGCCCACGGGATGCATTTTGCCCACCCCTGGCTTACAGTCTAATGATACAAAAAACCATATGGGTACAGATAGATGGGAGAGTACAAAGAAGCAATGGGATGGCAGAGCAGTTGTCAAGTGACTATGGGCATCCCAGCCAGAAAGGGTGTTGGGGGGGAGGTTGAAGGAGCAGAAAGCATCATTTCTGCAGATGTGTATAAGGGGCTCGTCCACCCATGAGACAAAGCAATACAAACAGTATCGTGGGTGATCAAAGATAGGAGCTGATAACAGAGAATGGGGAAAAACACACTGGGTGGGGATAAGCTGTGCATGAAAGTGAAGACAAGCAGCTTCTATTTCATACAACAGAAAAGAGGGAGCCAGCAGGAAGATTTAAAGAGAGGGGTGGCCTGGTCACAGCAAAGGGTTAGAAGAGAGATCCCAACAGTGCTGCAAATGGATTTTCAGCAGGGCACAGCTCCATCTTTGGGGTACCAGGCACGGCACCACAACTGCAGCAGAAGCCAGCTGTTCTTCCAAATGGTCCAGGAACTTGGCCCTGGTGGCTGGATGAGATTGTTTTTTCCCATGGTGAAGCTAGTCCATGCCTCAGTCAGCTCCAAGTCTGAGTGGGGAAAGGCACAAGGACCTTCTGTTTATTTGAAAAGGAAACACATGACAAGCGGATGAGCTAAATAAGCTACAAATGTCCAGGTGAGGGGTGAGAAGGGGGTTTCCTTGCAGGTACTGACCCAAAGGCGTAGATGAGTGACAGTCATTTAACCCATAACCCTGGAGTTCACTTAATTCTGATTGGCTCTAGGTACCTGATTTTCATCATCACTACATGTATACTGCAGAGTGCAAGGATTTGCATAATCATCATCTGATTATTTCTCAATACTTGTACCATGAATATGCAAATCTCCCTATGCTGGTTGGCTGTGGTAATCCCACTGCTCTGCTGTGCTCGACAGTCAAAAGGACAAATCCTAAATTGCCAGCTCAGCTCTTTAATAGATGAAGCGGAAACATGTCAAGACAAAGGAGAAGGGGTAGAAGAGAGTCTTTCGGTCCCTTTCACTCCTTCATACCCCTTCCCCTACTAGCTAGCAGGTCTCCTGGGCCCAGAGCAATTGCGATGCTTGACTATTTGCATGCAATAGGATGGATGCTGTCATGGTTAGGGCACTAGGCTGGGACTCAGCACATCTGGACTCCATTCCTGGCTCCATCAGAGACCTCCTAAGCAAGTCACTCATTACATCTTGGGTCCTCCATTGCCCAATGGAGATGAGGTTTCCTGGCAGTTTGGGCAGGAAGCTTTTCAGGGCTGGGACTACCTCTCACTACGTGCATACAACACCAGGTAGAATGGGACCCTGAAAATTAAAGTGCTTCAGATACTGGTATAACACAAATCACAATTTCCACTGGGAGGGGGGAACCACCCAGTTCAGCTTGGAAACCATGGAAGATATAAAAGATATTCACAGGTGAGGAGTCTGACAGAGCCACAGGCAGAGGAAGAATACATGGTAGTGAGGAAAGAGAAGGAAGGATCAGTGGGATTAGGCTGGGGATAGTTAATTGACTGTCCCCGGCATAATTGAGTAGTGTTAGACATCTACATTCAGTTAATTGAGAAGCACATTGGACAGATCATTTTGGCCTCCAGAGGGATCTTATTTCTGTTTCATTTATAATTCATGACCCAGATTTTCTCCCTTGAGGACCTGACATTAGTTTCCTGCATCCCCATGCGTACCTCTGTGCTGTAGCCAAGCAAAGCCGAGATGCTCAGCCCACCTAAAAAATCAGGCCCCTTCCTAAACACGGCATTAGGAGTCTGCCTCACACACCATGTACGAACAATATTGCCCTTTATAGCATTTCAGTCTAACCAGCACCACCACAGCCCACTGACGATACATCTGGGTAGCCTGGCAAGAGCAGCACACGATGCTAAAAACCACCACAGCTTTTGGCTTTGTAGCTTGATTCCTGAAAAAAAACCCTTGGCCTTGTGCCGCAGAACGCAGTCACCCTGAGAGACGGTCATTAAGCCAGAAACAGCTGGACCCTTGAGGCATCCTCAGAATAACATGCAATACTCAATCCCTTCCAAAGGCCCTGGGTACATTAAATAACTAATCCTCACAGTTGGAAGGGAGAAGGAAGAACAAGCCTCCATTTACAGATAGGGAAGCTGATGCATATGTTGGCTAAGGGTCAAACATGCCAACCCTCTCCCAGGAAATGCTGCGTTCTCAGCTCCCTCTAAAGACACCTCATTTGGGCCAGGCCCAAAGTGACTCATCCCAGGTCACATAGGAAGTTACACAGCAGAGACCAGACCTCAGGCATTCCTGACAGGCAGCTTCATGCTCTCTGCCCATTAGCCTGTGCTCCCTGATCTCAGACAAGTAGCTATAGAAAACCTCATTTAAAAGGGCAGCACCATGGCACTTACCAGTCAAAGTTGTTGTAGTCATTCTTCGCTTCCCCCCACATGTACAAAAAGACCAAGGAAAGGCAGAATGCTCCAATGAGAACTGGGAAAAACACACACTCCCGCTGGGGAGAGAAAGAGAGGCCAGGTGGTTAAACCTTACCTATGCAGCAACAGGCAGCGCACGCTGCAGGCGTATGCAAACCCCCGTTGGCTCCCCAGGTGAGAGAGGGACACGGCTGTGTTGAGTCCGCTCATCCATCTCTGAAAACATCCCCCACAGTGCACTCGTCAGTGCTTTTCCTAAGAGCAGCTTAGATCACTCAAGCAACTGGGACCTCTGCTGACTTCCCCCAAGATCCCATCGTTGGAATGTCCTCCTCAGATTTAACCTATTTGTTTCTTTCCTTTGCATAGCCTCTTTACTGGGAGATATAACACGTGCTCTGGCAGAGTTTCTTGTTCAGCTTGGGCAGACAATGACCCCTGTGACTCTTTCCTGCTGTCACACTTGGAACTAGCTGGATCGTGGTCAACACTTAGGCAGACCAGTCATGGCCCGGGACCTCCACCGTGCTAAGCCCTGTACGACCGAGAACAAGAAGACAGCTTCTGTTCCAAGTATGGTAGGGCCCTTTCATGGTGCCATGCTATCCTATCCTGTGCAAATATGTCTACAGCAAACCGAGCAGCTGGGACCAAATTCTAGCCTATCCCCTCTCTATCCCAACCCTAGCAGGATCAGTGAATGTAAATCATTAGCCCCCTAGTCCCCTCCAGAAGGAACTGTGGGGTGGGCTTGTCCCAGCAAGCAAATGAAAGCTTGCAATAGGGTTGGGCAAACATACCATTTTGCAGCAGCATTTTCCTGGCTCAACCTTCTTGCGCTGGTACCGCTTCCACCGGCAGCTGTAGAGCCCAGCCAGGCAGGAGATGAAAGGCTGGTGTTCATACCTCTGGAGCAAGTGCCGACGTACCACCTTCAGCTTGCCCAGCTTGAGCTGCTTGAAGTTGATGGTACTGTGGTCCATTGGAGAGGGCTTATCTCATCGTCTCTCTGAAAGAAGATCCAAGCTCTCAGGGGGCTTCCTGCCTCGCAGGGCAAGTCATATCACATAGTATCCACGGCTATGCCCTCAGATGGCTGCCCACGTGCCCACTCCCCTGCCCCTGAGACCTCCTCAGTGGTTCTTTAACAACTAATTTGCACCGAAAGTCAAACAACACACACTACCTGGCCTATATGAATGACTGCGTACAGCTTACTCATTGGTATATTTTTACTTTTTCCCACTCCCACAATGAAAATTGGTGAGGGAAAGTCTACTAAAACGGTGAAAGAATCATTTCCCCCCCAAAAATTATCTTTAAAAAAATTTCGATTTTTTTCATTACCAAAGTGAAAATCCTCATGAAAAATTTTGGGAAAAAAATGCAAACGGTTTTGCAGCTTTCTAAACATTTTGCAAATTAGCTTTGCTTTTATGTTTTGAGCCACTTTGAAGCAGCTTGAACAAGACCACAAAAAACTAAGCCCACAACCAAATTTTAATACTCCACAAAACCTTGATGCAGTAAGCCCATGCAACAGTTTGGAGCGTGGAAAAGGCCAATGCATGCAATAGGCAAGGATGCTGGAAATAGGAAGATAGGCCTGGAAAGAGCCTCCCAGGCCATAAAGTCCAGCCACAATATGTTAAAATTGGTTTGTGCTAGTGGAGAAAGGAGATAATAACTGTAGCCCTGTTCATGTGACAGACTTGTTGGTGCATACCTGCATATCTCCATGGATAAACATGGTCAACAGAGCAGGGGCTCTTTGTGCTTGTTTTCACTGTAACAACCTGTTTTAACTGAGCTTTACCATTTTGAATATAAGTTGGGTTTTGTGTGCACTAGCAGCCAGGTTACATAGCCAGGCCATTGTTTTCAATGAACGCAGCATCCTCAGAAAGAGATCCGTGCACAAATAGATGGGCTACAGGAAGCATGGATGCCTTTATGAACAAGCAGAACTTTGCGATTCGGGGTCTATAAAGAAATGTTATGAAACCATGGGAGGGCGATCAGTCCACGCTCCTATATCAGCATATAAAGCCCAAGTTATCTTTCAGATCTTATATGGCGCTGAAGTTTGGGATTATGCTGCTAGTAATGGTGCAGAACGAGTTTCTTAGGGATCTTCTAGCTCTTCCTCCCTCAACTCCTGCATCTTTTTTGAGATGAGAGACAGGAATGGATTCTATTTTAACTAATATTATTATTACAATAGCAGGATTTTGGTTTAAAATCCTGCCCCTTTTACCATCTCATCTGCTTAAATTATGCTACATAGAAGATATTCATAATCTCCCTCCTCCCCAGTCACCCTGGTTAGCTTTTCTTTCCTGCACTTTTGCACTTTCCGGGATGGGATACTATCTCAAAGATAATGAAAGATCTTTCTCCGCCCCCCATAGAAAAAGTTCATGTTTTCCAGAGGATTCAAGATATTGCCAGGCAGAATGGTTTTGCCGTGGCTAGGGCAACTTGCATTGCCCCTTCATATACTCTTTGGAAATTAGATCAGGGGGCAGAAAGGTATTTACAGTTGGATCTCAATGATAAACAGCACTCCTCTTTGACTAGACTCAGGATTGAACAGATGCCCACAGCTGTTTTGGCTGGATGTAGATTTTCCATCCCAAGGGATAAAAGATGTTGCCCAGCCTGTCTAGGAGCTTTGGAAGATACTATCCACTATCTATTAAAATATTCTTTATGTAATGACATAAGGAGAACCTATTTATTACCATGCTTGCAGAAATCGATACATTTCTCAAACAGAGAGAAATGAATCTGTCTTCTCCAGCAAACAACTCCCATCTCGCAATTTTTGCTTACAAGGCTGAGGCAATTAGAGTTAAATATCCTTTATTACTGATATGAGTGCCGCATTTTAACATTAGATTTGATTGTACTGTCTCAACTGTGGATCTATGTACAATAATATTAAAGATTCATGTCTTGATTTACTACTATATTTAGGTTAATAATGTTTTTATGTTGGCGGGCTCTATTCTTAGTATAATATTAGTAGCTTGGTTACTTTGTTCGAACTTATTTATATTCTGGGTGTATGCGTGCTATGTCATCTGCAGGAGCATGGCATTTAGCCAGAATCCTCAATAAACTGAAATACATTTTTTTTTAAATTGAGATTCAGGGGTTGTCGACACATACAAACAGAACAGCTTTCCCCATGGCAATATAATCAAATGGCGCAACCCTAATAATATAAAAAGTGCCATAAAGGTTCAGACCGACGGCCCATTTGGCTCTGTTTCCCACACTGACAAGCAGTTAGTATGAATGCAGTGCTACCGATAGGAAAACGTCTACGTGGATACAGCTATTTCAGTGTAGGAAGGAGAATGAATAGGATAGCACAGAGTCACAAAAAGAGGGCTGGCAGGGTCTTTAGGAGGTCCTTTAGTCCAGCCACCTGCTCAGGGCAGGATCACCCCTGGCTAAACCATCTCACCCAACTGTTCGTTTAACCTGCTCCTGCACGCTCCCAAAACCCACCACTCCAGTAGCCTGCTCCGATGCTGAGCCCCTCTCCTAGTGAGAAAGTTCCCCCTAATACCCAAGCTAAATTTCACTTGCTGCTCCACATGGTGCCTTTACGCCACTATGACAGCCTCCACCTTAAGAAATGTTTTGGTACGTCATTAAAAATCACCCCCCACCAACTAAAATAACTGGACCAGTGCAATTTTCAAGCATAAGCCAGGCTTTAGGCACCCGGAAAGATGAGGCCGCAGGACAGTGGCTCTCAATGTTTTTAGCCTCAAGGCTCCCTTCATAACTTTTACGAATTTAGCAGCACCCGAGCTGAGAGCCATTGTGCTACAATCAAGCTCGTGCCGGGTGAGGGCAGTGGGGACAGGACTTCACCCCATTATGCCCTGTTTTTTTCCTATTATCTGCCCCCTCCCAGCCCCTAGTCTGTACCTGGGGGGGACAAATGCTGCTCCACCAGGGGCTCGGATGCTGCGACTGAAGGCATGTGCACTTGGGGCCCTCCGACTGGCCCCAGGAGAACGGGAGGAGCAATGGGGTGAGGGAATCAGCTAAGCTGAAAAATGCAGCCCCACAGCCTCATATCTATCTCTCCAGCTGCCCACCCATCCACACAAGAACTGCCATTTACTGTGTCAGACCACGGCCACCAGATGCAAAGGAACCAGACAGATTAGCCGTATTCAAAAAGGGGTAGGGTATGTTCTTGGAGTAAAGGGGCATCAGTAGCTATTGAGCACAGGAGTTAGGGATGGAGAGCGAACTGGGGATGACCAGGGCTTTTTCTACTGTCCCTCTCGCACTTGCAGCTTCCAGCATTTAAGGTCTAGGAAGTTCTGGTTCAGAGGCTGCCTCCCTAACTCCTGTGCTCAACAGCCACTGATGCCCCTTTCCTCCAAGAACATACCCAACCCCTTTCTGAATACGGCTAAACTGTCCACTTCCATTGCATCTTGTGGCAAAGATTTTCATGCTTTAATGACACGCTGTATGGAAAAGCACTTCCTTTTGTTAGTTTTTAACTTACTACCTACTGGGTGCATCTACACCTGTCCTCCTGATTTAATACTTGCTAAAGCTAAAGCAAGTACTAAATGACTGCTCAGTCCCAGTGGTGCATGGGTCATTTCTGACCCTACTGCACAATAGCTCGTTGCTACCACACCGGAGCATTGGCATTACAGTTCATGCCCACCGATGCTATGTCGCCGTACCTCATCGCTACAGTGATGTAGTGTCTTGTGTAGATGCACCCACTGGTTATGGTGAAAGGTAGCAAATAATAAATCCCTGTTTATTTTCTCTGTGCCATTTGGTTTTTGTAAACCCTCGTCATGTCCCTTCTCAAGCGTCTCTATCTAAATTGAATAGGCCCGGCCTCTCTAGTGTCTTCTCCTATGGAAGTCCCTCCTTACCTCTGACCATCCTTGCTGCCATTCTCGGGACCTTCTCTAGTATCTTTTTTGAGGTGTGGGAACTGGGCTCCCAGCAAAGCACATTCAACACCCCTTTTGAAAGACTCATAGCACCCCAAGGTGCCACAACACCACAGTTGAGAGTCACTGACACAGGAGATCAACTAATAGGTTGAATGTTAAGCAAGCAACTTCAGGAATAATTCCAAATATGTGAACTGACTTCAGCAAAAGCAATGCCAATGGCACGGCACTGCAAACCGGTGACAGAATCGTTTTTGCACCAAGACGGTAATAAGAGCATAACGCAAGAAAACAGTCCTGCTGAAGTAACAAGAGGCGCCATTAAGAAGCGTCTCTCCAGAGCGCTGATGTAGCTGATAAAAGGTTTCCTGTTACATTGGATAGCTCGGTGTGTTACTCATGCCATATTACCTAGGCAGATCTGCACTCAGAAATGCAAGTCTCCTGTTCGTCTCCTGCAAGCTTCAGCCGTATTTCATCTATAAAATAGACCCATCATCATGATCATCATCATCATTAACACAGAAATGTGCAATTTACAGTCTCCCTCATTATGCAACCCCCCTGCAATGAACTGCTTGCAAGTGACCTAGAGACCAAAGTTTGCTGGCAGAAATTATCTGGTAGATTATTGGCAATAGTGTATCAGTTCAAAAACATCCGGTTGGGTTCATGGAAACTTTGCAACCAGTGAGAGATCAAATTTGTTAAAGACATTGCTTGTTACAAATAATTTGCCCAACTCTGCCTGAAGTCCTCTATGATAAACTAATCGCTGCAGCAGTGACAGGAATCCAAGCTGCCTGTGTCTCTATGTGTTGCAAGCAAAACTTGAAATAAAACAAATGTGTTATTACAGCATGATCAATGCCAAGCATCCAGAAATCAGAAGCCAGGCCACAGAAAACAGGAGACTGATTATTTAACTCACTCCATTTTTACAAATTAATAATGTTTTCATTCGTGTATGCTTGCCAGTGTTTGCGTTTAGTTTATACTCAGGTCATATAGTCAAGTTTTATTCTGCAAACACCAAGGGGACCTATACATGTGCCCGGGGGTGAGGATGGGCCCTTTTAATTAGAGCAGTTTTCCAACAGCCTCTCTAATTAAAACAGATCACCATCACGTGTATTAAGCCCTCCATGTGTTGAAATGGCCGCAGGGGTGCTTTAACTAAAGCTCATTTGACAAGCTTTAGCTAAAGCACCCCTGCAGCCAGTTTAAAATTCAGGGGGGCTTAATATACGTGACAGTGAGGCAACACTGGAGCATTCTAATTAGAACATGGAGCAGACTCAGTTAATCGAGTAAATCCTCATTAATCAAGTCAGCTCCAACATGTTCTAATTAGAATGAAAACCAGCACATCTATAGGCAGCCCAAAGCCAGAAATGATTGTTTTTCCACAAAAGCTGAGATGCTCAAGTAATCCTGTTTTCTCCAGAGTCTGTGGATTTAAGGCAGATGCCAAATATCACAGACAGCCCTGAACACCATGATTCATTCTTTACATAGTGCATGCAGTGCGCCAGGTGATTACAGACAGGTGTGACTTATCTCTACCCAGGAGACTGAAGTCAGCCTGTCCACAATGTTTTCACAGCATCTGATGAAGTAAGTTGCTGCCTAAGAAAGCTCTTCCCTCTGTGCAACAGTTAGTCTCTAAGGTGCTACCCTGCCCAGCTTTCTACCAATCCAGGGATATGGCAGTAGATGTAATGCTCTTATTCCATTCGCACAGCTTCTGTCATTGGCATTTTTCCATTAGGTGCCACTTCTTATTCCTGACTACTATGGAATTAGGTCATTTCTCAGGTTTAACTCAACCTTTACTTGGGGCCGGGACACATGGCACATACAAGTGTAACCTAGCCTTATCCTGTGATAAAAAGGAGCAGACACACAGCTTATAACCCTAAACCGATGTAGCTGATTCAAATGTGGTTACAGAGTTATCCCAGGGAAAACCAGGGGTAAATCTACACTGGTGTCAGTCACACCACTGTACTGTAGGTGTTGTGTGTCCATTTCTATCTTGGAATAACCTTTTCCTCAATGCAAGGAGACGATTCTCAGCTCTCTGCCGCCCAATAGTGAGACGATCTATAGTGCCTAGTGTGGAAGCCAGTCCAGGACAGTAGAGGTGTGATTTAAATTACATCAACAATAGCATATCGTGGGCATTTTTACACATGATCCGGGAGGCGTGGGGGGAGCGCTTTAATTAGTGAGCCATGCTTATTAAAAGCACCCAAGCATCACAGGTATCAGCATCCCCCTGCTAAAAAATGGCAATGGGGCACTTCGAACCAAAACTCATTGAATGAGCTTTAGTTCAAAGCACCCTGCCACCATTTTTCAGCACAGAGACGCTGATACACATGACACAGGAGTCTGCTGGAGTGCATTAATTTCTGCACTCCAGCAGACTCAATTCATCAAGTCTGCTCCAACATGCTGGATTTCCAGTGCATCGGAGCAGGCTCCCTACATGTGTATAGGAGCCTTGTGTGTCCATCGCCTTAGGGCCTGATCCTGAACCATCGAAACAAGTGGACATTTTGCTATGGGTGCAGGGTCAGATATTTAAACACAAGTGGCAACTTGCCTGATGAACACTGCTAAATTGAGCCTGTGCTTTCTGCATTCTCAAGGTAGTTCTACATCTACAAATCTGGGGAGCCTCATGAAGTCTCTGCAACCTACCCCTATGACTCTGGTGGGATGTTAGTCACATACTAGGAATTAGGCCTCAACTAAATATCACGTTGTTTAAGCAGCTGAAAACACGAATACTCAGGGTGCTCAGGCTCCAGGTGAGCAAACTACTTAAGTGCTTAATCTCTATGAGTTGGGTGGAAAGGAGCCCAAGTCTGTCTTGACAAATGACAACATAAGAACAGCCATACAGGCCAGACCAAAAGCTCCTCTAGCCCAACATCCTGTCTTGGAGACTGGCAAGCGGACAATGCTGGAGAACCCTCCATAAGTTTTACTAATATTAAAATCAAGTCCTCCCTACTGCTGCCTAACAGGCTTTTGTGCCTGGGCTGAGCAGTAGGGAATGAAGGGCTACCTCTCGGGGGTCTGACACTAGCTCCCCAGCCTATTGTTCACCTTCACAAGCCAGTATTCACGGGGTATGTGAGAGGCCCATCACACCACTAGATCATGTGCAGTCCCCTCTCAACCCTAAGATGTTGTTGCAGTTCATTGCTGCCTCCCGTGGCATGGCTCTTTCGCTATTTTTTCCTACTTTTTGGGTGCGGTTTTGATCTCTCCCTGCTGCAGACTCTACAGTCACTTCACAGCTTGTGTCCCTCAACCCGTGGTCTCTGTTTACCTGAGCGCTTCTCTTTCTTTGCCTGGAGACCTGGTTTTCCCTCCTAATGGCTCCCAATAGCTGTTGCCCAACGAACAAAGAACTTTCCTGCCACGCGGATTCCTATGAGAATGCCAGAGCGCGCCACGCTGGCTCGGCTGCAAGGATCAGTCCATTTCAAGGGGTTAATAAACCCTTTAAATGACTGAGTCTTGATCCGCATCAGGTGTAAACTTGGCATAGCTCTGCTACACCCCAACAGAGACATACCCTGGACAATTTGGTCCATTACATAAGTTGGGGGTGTGGGAGGGTGCTCACGTACACATAACCCACTCCCACATATTCCAAAGCAAATACATCTCGAACTAGCTACTTAACCTTAAGTAAAGGACAGGCGATATCATTACCCCTTTGTGGCAGTACTGTGCCAATTTGTGTTCTTACACGTTGGAGGAAGACCTGAGGCTGGGGCCTGGTGTTACTTGAACACCAGGATATAAAGAGGGTACAAAGTTGTGTTTCCCAGAACAAAGGAATCACTCAGCAGGAGACAGTTTCTTTGCTCATGATCCCAAAACTCTTCCCAACCAGTCCAAAGCTCTAACTTGGCCTTTTCTGGTTTTTCACTCATGTTGGAAGTGTTATTTTGAATGTCTCCGGTGCTTCCATGCCCTATGCTCTCTCTCTCACTCTCTTACACACACACACTATTACCCAAGAGCAGCCTGCTTTCTATAAGATCCCCTTTGGCCACAACTCAGATGCCTGACCAGCCCTGTCCGAGGTGTGTTTTAGGCACAGTGTCTTATTTTTATGCCACTACTTGAACCCACTTCAATAAGATGTAACCAAACAGGGTGGATCTACACCAGAGGTTTACTTAGGAGTTACTTAGTTTGGTCCACAGGAAAGCATTGCTGTCTATACGAGTGGAGCTATTAGGCCAGAGTAAGCTAATTAACTCTGCCATAGGCTAGTACTGCCAAATACAAGTACTATTCTAGGGTGGAGTTATTTAGTCTGCTGCCACACAGATGTAAACAGTGACTGGGGCTGGCTGGGGCATGAGGCTGCTACAGTGTGGAGCTGCCTGGTGGTTAACCCTGCACTGGAGAGCCCTCATGCCCCAGCCAGCCCCTCCAGAGCAGTGCAGCCCTGGTTGGCAGGGGAGCCAGGGGGTCAGTCTGCCAGCCTGGGGCTGCTCCTGCCTAGCTCAACATGCTGCAGTCCTGGGAGCATGTGTAACCACGGCACCTGAGAGCAATAAACTCCAGTGCACACTGAGCCAGAGTTTATTGCATCAGATTAATTTCACGTGTAGACGCGCCCACCAACATCATAATCCTATTCATAAAGCAAGAAGTGGCTCTATAAGAGAATATGGTCATTAGAACCACACTATCACCACTCACTCTTCCAATGTGGGAATTGCATTAAATTTGGAACATAATGGAAAACATGGTTAAGCACAGGATCACCCAACGTTTACCCATGGAACCTGTTTTATGTGCCTATAACTTATATTGAGGTATTTTGACTGCAAAGAAGAGTGTTAAGAGGTCCTATCTACAATGTACTGGCATGGCTTCCCTCTAGAGTTGGCTTGGGGTTTCATGCATAACAGCAGGGGATGGTGCCATTTCTGGAATGTGATCCAGGTCAGTGGGGGCCTGATCCTTTGACATCTTGCAAGCTCAGACAGGGTGATCTCAAGTGACTGATGTCTCATTGCTTCCTGTGAATCTAGCCACCTACTGTTTCACCTTAGGATGGAGGCTCTTTGGGGCAGAGGCTGTGTCTTGATTATATAAGTGACCAGTGGCTGGTGCAACAGGGCTGAGACCTTTAAAAATGACTGAAAGGCAAAGAATTTCAATTTTGTTACATTGCATCTCACTGTATAATGCTGCTCTGCGATGCTAGACAGCTGCCTGGGGCAGGGCCCTAGCTAGCAGGGCTGTGCAAAATGTTGCCGGCTGTTTCATTTCAATGCTGTTTTGACTCGTTTTGAGCTTGAAACAACAAAATCAAAATGAAATGAAGGGCTTCGAAACAGCCTTGAAATGAAACGAGGGCAGCCGAAACATTTCAAAAGTTTTGAAACATTTTGAGTTTCGAAGCCCAGGCTTGCCTGCAGGGAAA